TCCGCCTGAAGGCACAAGAAGAAGGCGCAGGCTTGAACCAGACCCTCCAGCAGGCGCAGGTGCTGACCAGCGGCGACGTGAAGCTGATGAAGGCAGCCATGTTTTGCCGAAGTCAGAGCGGGACGCCTCGGTGCGCCTCGAGCCGAGAGCGTCCCAAGTCGTCGCCACTAGTTCGCCGGACGCCTCGAATGGCCACGCTTTGCCAAGGTCAGAACCGGCAGCCTCGGTGCTCCTCGAGCCGAGTGCCGCCTCACGCGTCGCCACGCTGCCGGATCAAAACAAGCAGTCCAGCAAGAGAGGCACCTACAGCCTGCAGCCCAAGCTACAGAGGCCCGACGGACACCTGTTCCACGAGCGCATGGCGGTCAGCCCGACCCAGACGCTCATCAAGGCCTTGAAGGAGGTGGGGGACGACTGGGAGACACTGCTGCCGACCCTCTACTGGATGGCGAACATAATCCAGACCAAGACTGAGGCTCTGAGCCAGTGGTGCTGGAAGCTGGTGGGAGCAGACATCCTAGCCTCCCACCGCCAAGATGCTCGTGATCAGTACCATCGCATCGCAGGAGACATACGCGACGCATGGGACAAGAGGCAAACGGACGTAGCGTTTGCACGGCTGAGGGGAATGGGCATTGGCTCTCAGAAGCGCATGATGAACAAGTGTCTCCCGTCGGTCAAGCTCCTCGACGGCACGTACGCCACATCGCAGGCCCAGATGGGGAACAGGTGGCTCCAGCACTTCAGCCTGGTTGAGTTCGCGGCGGACGTTCCGATCGTGGACCTCCACAAGCTCATGCAGGCGCAGTTTGAGAAGGGAAGCCTGATGCCAGACGTACTCGACCCCAGCTGCATCCCGACGTTGGCGGACATGGAGCGTGCGATGAAGATCACAAAGGACTCAGCGCCAGGGGTCGACGGCCTGATGGGGAAGCTCTTCCGCACACAGCCGAAAACACTGGCGGCGGCTTACCACCCACTGGCAACCAAGTTTGCCTGCACAGGCGTGGAGCCGGTACAATGGAAAGGAGGCTTCTACAGACACCACCACAAGAAAAAGCAGGCCGAAGAGTGCGGCAACCACAGGTGCTTCGCGGTCACCGCCATGGTGGGCAAAAGGGTGAGGCACTTCTACAGGTCAAAGGTGGCGGAGTACCTGCCACAAGCAGTTGGAGACCGCCAATTCGGAGGCGTCAGGCGCAGAGGCACCCAGCATGCGTCTGTGGTCACCAGGATGCTGCAGTCAGCGGCGTCCGCCAACATGCTGTCCTTCGCGGCTATCTTCATGGACGTCAAGAACGCGTTCTACTCCATGGTCAGGGAGCTGGTGCTGCGCACGCCCATGGCCAAGGCAGACAAGGACGCGATCGCCGAGTCCACGGCCGTCCCGCCCACGGCCCTGGAGATCCTGAAGAAGAAGCTGGAGGAGGAGATGCCGCTGCTCCACCGTACGGAGGCCAGTGAGCATCTCAAGGCATTGGTCGAGGAGCAGTACACGGCCTCATGGTTCGTCTGCGAGAGCTCAGACCACGTGGCCCTGGGTACCAAGTCCTCGATCCCAGGCCAACCCCTCGCCGACCAGATCTACGAGATCGCCATGGCGGAGGCCATCAGGATCTCAGAGGCGAGGATCGAGGAGGAGGGCTACGGCATCTTCGTCACAGGAGCCAACGTACGCTCGCTGGCGCAGCAGCTCGACAGCGACCTCGACTTCGAGAAGATACCAGGCCACAGCGTGGCCTTTGCGGACGACGGCACATTCTCCTTCATCGGCAAGGCTGAGGAGGCGATGGATGCGGTGGCGGTCATCGCGGGCATCGTCTTGGACACCTTCGCGGAGTTCGGCCTCGTCCTCAACCTTGACCCTGGCAAATCGGAGGTGCTCTTTGCCTTCGCAGGCCAAGGGGCGAAGGGAGCGAGGAGGACCCTATGGCATGAGTGCCATGGAAGGGTCAAGCTCAGGTCGAAGCACTACGAGGGAGCCGTCATCCACGCAGTGCACAACCACGTGGCGCTGGGGACGGTCATCGACGACCATGGCGCGGTGTACCCAGAGCTCTACCGCCGCGCAGCCACCACTACAGCCGCTCTCAGGAAGCTGAGAGAAAAGGTCTTCCGCAGCCACCAGCTGGACCTGCCTACCAAGATGGTATTCGCAGACGCCCTGGTATGCTCGTCGAGATGCTTCTCACAAGGCAGCTGGCCAGGACTCACGAGGGCGGAGGCCAAGTATCACCACGCCATGGTCATGGCAGTCTACAGGGCGGCGGCGGGGAAGAAGTTCGCCACCAAGGAGGACGGGGAGCTGGACCTCGACGCCTACCCAGAGGCGGAAGATGAGGCACTGCTCGCCAAGGTGGGAAGGGCTCGGCCGGAGGACCTGCTGAGAGTAGCAAGGCTAAGGCTGTTCGGCGAACTACTGCAAGCAGGACCACCCCTCGCTTTCGCGACGATGGCCCAGCTCCTCCTGCGGCCCCAGCACGCCAAGAGGCAGTCCTGGCCGCAGATGCTAATGGGGGACCTCCGCTGGCTGCAAGGCTACTCGGCGGACCTGCATGACCTCCCGGATCCCAGTGATGAGCTGAGGCCTTGGGAGATGATGATCATACGCTCGCACTCCTCGTGGAAGTACAGGCTCAACGACACGCTCAAGGCGGCGGCAGCACAGCTGAGCAGAGGTCACGCGGCGCGCATGGCAGAGACGCGCTTCTTCGCCATAGTGCAGCCAGCGGGAGTGCCGTATTCCACAAGGGAAGGCAGCCCTTTCGGGCCCCCGCAGGCAGACGAGCCAGACACAGCGCCGACGAGACAATGGACATGCCCGTGGTGTCAGAGGACGTTCAGGCGACAGAGAGGGCTCAGAGTCCACATCTCACAGCAGCACTGGACCATGGTCAGGCTAGCACGTACCTGGACGGGTTCAACAACGCAGTGCCAAGGCTGCCTGACGCTGTTCGACCGGACCCACCACCTCACCGAGCACCTGGCGATCGCATCGCCGGCCTGCCTCGTCGCGACCATAGACGCGGGAGAGGCGCCTGGCACTGAGGAGAGCGAGCTGCGCAATGAGCTCCCACGAGGACTGCTGAGGAAGAGAGTGAACATACCCGCGATCAAGGCAGCGGGGCCCCTGCCAGACGTGGTATCCCTCAGCCAAGAAGACGCAAAGAAGGTCCTGCTCGAGGCTGACTACGTGCTCGATGACGCTGCCAGGACCACGCTCCAGGAGGGCTCAGAAGAAAGACCCCAGGAGAAGAAGGAAGTGCTGCACGACGAAAGGTACGACCTGAACCAGTTCCGCACCGACAAGTACAGTGGCATCACCACGGAGGTGAAGATACCGTGGAGGATACAAAGGGCAGAGATCTACGTACTCAACCTATTCTGCGGGCACAGGCGCAAGCAGGACATTCAACATGTGTTCGAGTCAGCGCCGAAGTTCGAAGTGATGTCGGAGAAGGTGCACATCATGGTCCTCAGCATCGACGTGGCGATAGACGCTCGGCGCTGCGACCTCATGCGACAGGACAGCCTGATGGTTTTCCGCGAGGGGATCCTGAAGAGGCAGATCATGATGACGGGAGGAGGACCTCCATGTGAGACATGGAGTGCGGCGAGATGGTCAGAGCAGCCAGGCCCACCGCCGCTCAGATCCCACGACCAGTTCTGGGGAGTGGCGCATGCTGCACCACGGCAGAGGATCCAGCTGGCCGTGGGGAATGCCCTGATGCAGTCCATGGTGCTCCTCCTGGCGGCGCACCTGGTGGCAGGCACGGCAGGGTGGTCGGAGCACCCCATCCCGTGCAGCTGGCGGCTGGCGGCCGTCACATCATGGACATGGGAGCCGTGGCTCGCGCTGCTGTCCGCGCCGTGCACCACGACCACGGACTTCGACCAGTGCGAGCACGGACAACTGAGCAAGGCCCCGACCAGAATTTTTGGGCTCCGCATGGCGGGGCTGCACAGTCGCCTGACTGCGACGCCTGGGGGAGGAAAATGCTCCCACGGGCGAGCGGCCCACGCCACTCTCCTAGGGCGCGAGGCTGGGTCCAGGGGCTTCCGCACCGCGCGGAAGAAGGTCTACCCCCCAGGCCTCTGCCGCAGCATCGCCGAGAGTATTCTGGAGACGCTCGAATCGGCCCTCGATGCTGCGCTCCCGGACGCGCCCAGGGATGAATCCCAGTCTCACCACCTCCTCGTGCAGGGCCTGGCGGATTTTTATGTCTCAGAGATCCCAGTGTCGGAGGACGGGGCCAGGGAGTGGGCCCCTGATTTTGCGAAGGGAAAGGGCCGCAGCAGGCCTGACCCTGAGAAGGGCCGCTTTGAGCCCCCGGGCCCGCCTGGCCAGGACCCCCCAGGCCCCTCCCAGGATCCTGAAGACAGCCAGGGCCCCACTGAGGAGGAGGCCTACGCCGCTGAGGTGATCGGTCTCTCTCCCCTCCTCTGGTCCCCGACTCCGCCTCCGCCTCCGCCTCTCCCGCCTCGCCCCCCTCTTACCGACACCCAGCGGCGCAGGATTGCCGAGAATAAGGCCAGGGCCCAGCGGATACGGCAAGAGCGCCGTAGACCGTGGGCCTCTAGGGGCCTTGACCTGCGACTCGCGTGGGGAGCCCCAGAGGGCTGCCCCATGCAGGAGAGCCCCTGCGGGGCTCGGGCGGACTTGCCAAGGAGCGGGTCGGCCTGGGCCCAACAAATCTTCGGAAGGGCCTGACAACGGATCGGGCCCACCACACCACCCTCCACCCGGCTACAGTCCGGGTCCGAGCCGGCCCACTATAAGGGCCACTGCACGTCGGCTCCGACAAGACGCAGAGTTCCACCACCACCAGTCCTCGTCCTCCTCCCCTGCCTCTCCTCCTCTTCCTCCTCCTCCTCGCTCCACCTCCTCCCTCGTCCTCCTGCTCCCATCCCTCCTTCCCTCCTCCTCCCTCCCTCCCTCCCTCCTCCTCCTCCTCCTCCTCCTCCTCCTCCTCCTCCTCCTCCCCACGGTGGGGCTCCGCCTTTTACCAGGTGCACCGGCCTCGTCTCGAAGGGCACGCCGTGGTGCGCGAGCGCCACGCGCACACGCCAGCTGCAGGTCGACCGCCAGTAGCTGCGCAGCGCCACCTCCGCAGCAGCAGCGGGCTCGGTTCATCTCGTCGTCGTTCTCCTCCTCGTCGTCGTCCTGCTCGTCCTCTGTCAGTATTTTCTTCGTCGTCCTCCTCCTGTTTCGTTATTATTGTTCTGCTTCGTTATTTTCCCTCTACTCTCATCCTCGTCCTTCTTCTCTTCCTCCTCCTCCTCCTCCTCCTCCTCCTGCTCCTCCTTTGCCTCGTCCTCCTCCTGCTCTTCCTCCTCCTGCTCCTCCTCCTCCCCTTCTTTCGTTACCCTCCTCCTCTTCCTCCTCCTCCTCCTCCTCCTCCTCCTCATTCGTTATGTTGATATTATCCTCCTCCTCCTCCTCCTTCTTCTCCTCCTCCTCCTGCTGCTCCTCCTCCTCCTCCTCCTCCTCCTCCTCCTCCTCCCAGTGCTTCTCAATCAAATCGTACACCTCCTCCTCCCCCTCTCCTCCTCGATTCGATTCGATTCGATACGATACGAGGCGGAAGAAATCGTTGCCCAACCTCGGGTGAAAAGAAAAGAACGCAAGAAGGAATCAGGAAAAGCGGTGGCGGCAGCAGCGAAGCGGCTGCGGACTGCGCTCACGGCGCGGACCACGCACCTAGAAGTCCGAGAGGGCGGTGGGTTACCGCATGGATGTGCGCGACACCGATAGGAAAGGATAGAGCCAAGAGGGGGAAAAGAGTAGTCCTTCACCCCAAAGGGAGGGACACAGATAGAGCCAAGAGGGGGAAAGGATAGAGCCAAGAGGGGGAAAAGAAGAGGGAGCGACACAGATAGGAAAGGATAGAGCCAAGAGGGGGAAAAGAAGTAGTCCTTCACCCTTAGGCATCAGTTACCGACAAAGTCGCGCTGCGCGATGATGCACACAGCACCCTCCAGTTGCTGCCTTTAAAGCTGGGCGTACAGCGGCGGCGCCCTTGGGCGCGAAACATTCGCTGGAGGGCCCTTCACATAGCTGAGTTGCCGCCCTAGATGGCCTGAGGGGTGCGGCGAGGAGAGGGCGAAATTGAAATGTGTCCTCGCAATCGCCGCACACGAGGGGCATGTACCGCACAATCCATGCCAGTTCCCGAGATCATATACGGGTCGAGTGGACAGTGGTATTTGCTGAGCACTGTGGGTAGCTGCCATCCGTCGTCAGGGGCATTTGATTCCCAGCTGTCAGCACAAAATAAACTCCTGCCGAGCAGTCCATTCAAAGATAGCATCTAAGGGGTCCAATGTGATCTTATCAGTATCATGCTTGAGATGTGGGAACCTCAAGGGGACACTCTGGTGAATCGTTTCAGCGATGAAGGTGCAGAGGCCCCGAAAGTAAATTCTGGCTGCGGTGGAAGCCCAAACACCATCCGTTTTCATGCCCTGAATAGATACGTGCAAGTGATCACGGGGACAAAGACCATGGGACCTCATCGTACCTGACCAAGTGGCCATCGTGGGGACCTCAACTGCTAAATGACTCGTATGGGTCCTCACTCCAGATTGCCGCGCGAGGGAGACGAGACAAGGAAGAGACCACGATGATGGAACGTCCTCGCACCAAGTGCAGGGAGCAAGATGCTCCATGATAACTGGGACTCGGTGCATCCGTGCCATCCTTAGAAAGCGAATGGTCGTGCGAAGAAGATGGTTGACTACGTCCAGCTGCTTCCTCTCTCGATCGGTAACATGCTCAAGGCCCCAGGGATGTTGCTGGGATCTAATAGGTCTGGGAGGCCTCCTGGACCCTGGTCCTGGAATGTGCCTAGCCGCCGACCAGCTTTCACACGGGGGCCCCGCTAACACTACCGCGACACGTCCTCAACGCAACAGGTTGATCCAGACCTCTATCGTTTCCGCGCGCGTGCGATCCCCCCCAAACCTCATCATGGGACATGTCAATGCTGATGGCGTGCAAACATGCACGCGAGCATCCCGAGATCTCCTCAAAGGCCTCTTGGAAGTCCCAAGGCCGCCTGTACCCCGAAAGGAGATGCGAAACAAACATGGCGCACCGCATGGGAAGAGGCTTAGGCAGCCACGCAACGGGGTTCTCCTCCTTCGTTCTTCACCACTCTTGCTCTCTAACCGGCGGGGCGGGCGCCAGAGCCGGGGGGAGGGGGGGCCAGGAGGGATTGCTCAGGCACTGCAAGCCTTTTTGTTCCACCACGCACGCAGGACTGCCGAGCGTTCCGCCGGCCAGCCCCGTCGAATTCTGCCGTCAGTTCTCGCGCAAGCTTCGCCGCGCTTAGCTTGGCGGCGCACGAAGGGGGGGCGGGGCAGCGGCAGCGGATCTCACAAGCGGCGAACATTCTTCCGTATCCGCGCCCTCGCGGTCTGGCTTTGGAGGTGCGATCCCGCGGATAAGTACGCGGTCCCACGGATACCTTCCGAGCGGGGCATCCGCGAACAAACTCCACGGATCCGCGGGGGCGAGGCCCAGGAACCTGGCCCGCGAGGCCGCGAATACACGGATATGTTTTCGCCCACGAGGGCCTCCAAGAGGGCCGAGGAGTCTTCTCAGAACAAGGGCACCCCTGCTTCGTCTGAAGGCTGCTTAGAAAACATGATGAAACAAAAACCAGGACAGAATGATACCGGGACAAGTCTGGAATCTCTGAGATCCGGCGGTTCTGAAGGATGTATCGAGCGACGCGGCGTATTCAAAGGGCTCTGGAACGGTCTGAGAGCGTTCCGGAATGATTAGTTTTGGTCCTAGCGCCGCCCGAAGAAGGCAGGAAGGCTCCTGCGGTCAACGGTCTGCAACTTTTGCGCGGCGTGTCGCGGCGGCGGCCCTAGCGACGCGCTGTGCCCTGAAGCTGGTAGCGCGTCATCCGCTCCGCGGGGCGGGAGGCTGGGAAGAGCTCGGGGCCTTGACGCTCAGAGACGGGACGTGGTTAGCGCGTCGCGCCGCAGAGTGGCGGGCCATAATCGGCGGCGCGACGAGCTAAGCCAAACATCCCCAGCAGTGAAAAGGCAAGACCCCACTGTTTTGTTTCAAAGCCGCCACCCTCGCCGCATCCCGTTGTGTACGCCGCCAGCTCGTCTAATACGCACGATTCCGCGCGAGCACGAAAGACGAGAGGCTAGCAAGTCCGAGATGAGCCTGCGACGACGCCTGGGCGAAAAGGAAACGGAGAAGTGGTGAGAATAAGTAGAGCGAGAAGGACGGGAGGGGGGGGGGGGCATGGAATGAACGAGAGAGGGGTGGGAAGGGCGGACGGGGCGAGGGGCGGGTGGGGGGGGGAGGGGGGGTGGGAGGGGTGAGAAGGTAGACCACTACGGGATATCATCTTGGGGGCTGTCGCTGTTGCTGTTTTCCCTCCAGGATGTCTGTCCACTTTGCCACCCTTGTGAAGGGCCACCCCAGGAGATGGGAGGTGCTCTCATGGGCGCCAAACTCACAAGAATCTCCCTGGAACAAAAATCAAGACGGCCAATCTTAACGGCCAGGGAGAAAACGTGTCCAGTTGGCCTGTGCAAAGCACTAGCCACAGCAATCGTAGATTGCGCCCGATCCCTCCTCCCCTCGGTGGCTCCCTCCTCCTCCGACGACACTGTGGCGGAGTATCCGCCTGACCTCGAGGAGGTCAGCATTTCGCTGGGTGATTCCTTTGTTTCCCTGGGCCGCTTCGCCTCGGAGGAAGCGGTCCCCGCGCCCGATTTTGCGGGTTTTGTGTCTCGGGGTCGGCGCATGACCGACCCCGAAAAAGCGAGATGATTGCACTCCGACTCCGAGCCCGAGGAAATTACAGTTCTGGACCCTGCCATGGCCGAACCGCGTTCGCCCCCTGTGAATCGTTTCGGGGATGCAGAGGCGGAACAGGCCGTGCTGAGCTCCTCCTCGGCTCCCCTGAGGAGCAGGCCGCGACCTGCAGCTGATTCCCCCTTCTCCCCCCCCTTCCCCGCCTCCGCCCCCCTCCGCCCCCCGCCCCCCTCCCCCTTTCCTCCGACCAGCTTGCCAAGATCGCGGCCAATAGAGCCCGCGAGCTCCACGTCCGTGCTGAGCGTGCCGAGGCACTGCGGAAGGCCCGTAGCAGCGTGCCTCCTCCGCCTTCCTGCCTCTGCGAGCCCCGCCCAGGGGGAACGGGCGGCCCGAGAGAAAGAGCAGGCCAGGCAGGCGTGGATCGACTTCCTCGCCGAGGCCCCGCCTGCCTCTCTCTGTCTCTCTCTCGCTCTCTCTCTCTCTCTCTATCTTTCTCCCCCGTTGTGTGTGCTCAGAGTGCATGCAGGCGGCCATCATCAGACGAGAGCGGTGTGTGCCCCATCCGACGTTGAGCGAGCGAGCGAGCTGCTGCTGATATCGCTCCTCTTTCCCTCGTCTCCTCCCACCCCTCTTCCTCCTCGTTCTCCCATTCCTCCCTCCTTGCTTGTTTCCTCCGACCGCGGACTGGATATTCGAAAAGCATGGGAACCTGGGAGTCCAGGATTTCAGAAGTTTCACAAATGCATTTGTTGTTGCAACGTATAGCAACTTGTGAACGCCCTGACAGTTCTTCTGGCGTAGAAATTGAAACATTTGACTCCCCGTTGGCCCCAGGATTTGGGAGATGCCTGGGGACCTGGGTTTCAAAAGTTTCAAACTAGCTGCAACTTTTGCAGTTTGAGCACCTTCATAATATGAACAAGTTCTATGAAGCTGGAGCCTGTTGCAACTTTTGGGATCCAGAGCCGCAAGATGTAGGACATTCCTGGGGGCCACGGGTCCAGGACCTGAGGGGAGCTTTATATCCCCGCAGGAAGTCCCTCGCGCATACCTATCGCAAAGTATCCTTTGCGATCGGTGTGCGCCGGGGACTGTCGTGGCCTCGCCGGAAGTCACCTCTGGTACTCTTGGGCCTACCATGGAACGGGAATGCTCCGAGGGGCGACGTTCTGTATTTGGCCGTTCGTGCTGAAACGAATAGGTATACACATGTATATACATGTGGGTACACATGTAGTTATATACAAATACAATGGCATGTGTGCATACACACATATATATACACGCAAATGTACGAACATAGGTAAATATGTATATG